TAGGCAAAAAAACTATGCAAAATGCAAATAATAAAATGCGATGCGAAATCAAGCATAGTTAGCATAGCAAAAATAAATATCCTATTAACTTTTAAAAGAGAGAAATAAGCATATCCTTTGTTGCTGGTGTCAAATGCTGTATGGACAATCAAATGGTTAAGTAAAAATTGCACAATTTATATACTGACATTAGACCATGAAAGTAAGTGTTCCTGTTTTCCTAGTTTTCATATTATTAGACAGTTTATGCTAATATTAATAAATTTCAGCAGGGTTAGTATTTCAGAGCAGGCATGATGCTGAGACCATCTATGCTTCAATTAGTTGGGGAAATAAGTAGCTTTTATGGTTAATTAAAAACACCACCTTAATTAAACAGACTCCACCTGATGGCTTGACCTATGTGACTTTGCCCTAGGCTATCAAATACAAGTACAAAAGCAGCAGTATGAGCGCTAAAAATAGGATTTGGAGGATATCACAGACACACTGTGGTTGTTTATCAGACAGTCTCATATCAAACAAATTCATAATAAAAATTGACTTTATTTATTAACAATTCTCTTTATGAAAAAAAAACTTTACAGGCACAAGTAAGTGCCATATGGTGTGTGCCCACATCAGTAGTGGCATATATAGATGTTTTAACAATATATTACATGGTTAATAGTTGATCATTGTGCACAGCTACAGAAAAAAAAGAAACTCACTGATTTACAAACCGATAAAGTTCTCTGATTCAGACTTTAAACAGAATAAAAGCTGCAGACCCGATGCTACGTTATTAAACTCACTTATTCAATTTCTGTTGGTGGGTTGGCCATATTGAATTAAATTGAGAATCATTTTGGAATATGATTGTGATCTGAAATTAAAATGTGTGGTGCCTAAAGATACCAATCCCTACTTAATACACCACATGGAATGGTTATATTTTGTTCCTGAAAACTTTTATAGCAATTACTTGTGGGCTTTCTAAACATTTCTAAGCTATGTGGAAGCTGCTGCTAAATTTCAAGAATTAGCAGAGCCTGATGCAACAGTTTAATTGTTCTAGGTATCTTTCTATCATCTTTGTGCAGGCTGCAGATTAGATTTATTCCTCAAACACTGTTGAATGACTGATGAATGCTAATGATCCTTTACTGTCAGGACTGCTGGGATGTCAAGGACGAGTCCTTCTCCATCATGAATGGAGCTCTTGATGAAAAGCTTAGCAGTGAGCTAGGATTGCTGTGGTTAGCATCTCTAAGTGCGAGGGGATAAAACTGTCTGTATGAACCGCAGAAACATTCAGAAAAGTAAGATCCCAGCATATGTGCTCAGGGACAAGGGTCCCATAGCACTCAGTGCATGTTTTAGTCTGAGATCTCCCAGCACAAGCTCACACAGGAGCAGGGAGATCTGTGGGGACGTGTTCTTTGATAATGCTGAAATATTGGGAGCAGGATCCCAGGAGCCACACAGAGAGCTGGTGAAATAGAGAAGGGTCCAGAGGGTATTCCATGCCAAAGGGAACCCAAAGCAGGTGGGCCGGGAGTATGTGTGTCCTCATGTAGCAGGAAGCGAACGAGGGGAGGAGGGACAACATGACATGACATTGACTCGTTAAGAGCCTGGCACTGCCTGCGGCCTGCTAATTTATGCAAATGAAGGTTACTGACTCTTGGGAGCTGGGTTGTCGGGGGGTGGGTGCTGTCAGAGTTTGGCTGGGAGCCAACGGCGTGCAGTAAAAACAGTGCCGCTGCTGCGGTGGTGGTGACGGCTTGTGGGGCTGGAAAGTTCGGCAGAGCGCCACAGGAGCGGAAGCGGGAAGCGCCGTGCCAGAACAACGTACCCAGTTAGTTGCCTGGCAAGGCGGGCAGAGAAGCGACCAATCAGGGACACGCTGCCTCCTCTACCCTGGCCGAATGGCATCGCCCTCACGGCCCTCCCCTCGCTTGCGCTCCTCCTCTCCCCCCGTCACTCCGGTTGCCCGGGATGATTTTATAAACATTTTGCTAGCCGATCAATAGCCATATTGATCAGGCATTGTGAAAGTGATCCGTCTAAAACCCCCAGCAGCCTGCAGCTCTAAGAGAGGGAGGAGCGAGGGAAAGGGAGAGAGAGGCTGCAGAGAGGATGAGGAAAGGGAAAGAGAGAGAGGAAAGGAGAGAGAGGCTGCAGCCACAGAAGAGAGAGGTAGAGGGGAGAGAAGGGGAGATCTCACAGAGGCAGAAGGAGGCAGTGCTGAAGGTAAAGCAGTGTGGTGTGGACGTAGAGAAGCGAGCAGGAGCAGCCATTGGGACTGCGTTAACATGCATTCTAATCGCTTTCTCGTTAAGCCGCGGAAGGGAGGGGTGACTAATGAGTCTCGCCGTAAGTATACAAAATAATTTACGGAGAGAAAGGGAGTGGGCGAGAGAGGTAACGTATGAACGAAAACAGGCGCAGGTTTGGCCTGGTGAGTAAATGAACGTATGTGTGCGCAGGGGGAGGTGGAGGTCTTTAATTGCTGTGGGAGATGGTACGCGATTAATTCTGATTGCTTTGTAAATTTAATTATCATTTATTCTCTCTAGGAAAAAAAATGCCTCTGGTTGACGGGGATGGAATCGCGTACCATAAAATTTACCTGCGAACAACAATACCCGATGACTTCTCGCTCATAAGGAGGCCTGCAAAATATGGCGGCGATCACTTCCGAAGGGAATTCTTAATGAGAAAACATCATACTGAGAGCAGGTCCAATGCATTTGATAGTCTTGAGGATATTTGCGGGCCACTTTGAGGATTTTGGTGCCTGATCTTTTCGTAAACCCCAACTGTACACCAGTGGATCATGGTGGAATGTTCAAAAATTGGATATTAATAATTGGACTTGTATCAGTTCCTCGCTATCGGAGTACAGACACTTTCAGCTTTCTACTGACTGAATATTTTTGTTACTTTTTGGACGAAAGTCTGGATAATAAACAGAAGAGCTGCTGGTCCTACAATGGAGAACAATGGATGAAGTGAGGGCTGTTTAGAAAAGCAGGCCTGTCTTGCCACTCAGTCACAAGACACACCAGGGGGGATCAGGCACAAGAGCCCAAGGGAGGCTTGTATTGATCCAGACCAAAATGTATTTCGCCAGCACTGTGGTTTGTGCTCAACTGATGTGCTCAGGGTTGATTGAGGATCAGGCCTGGTCTGCAGGCCATAATGAAGGGAATTGATACAGATGTCAGACCACTGATCACCTATCGGCCCCACAATCTAAATCCAAAAGAATTAAGCCCTGTATTCTATTTGTGTGGAATGCCTTTGTGTAATAGACATGTACACTTTAACACACAAATTCAAGGCATACACTTCTGGCATGACATCATATTGGCTGTAGTGCCCCGAAACATGGATCTAAAAGAGACACAATGATTTAAAGACCTATATTACAGAGTCTCAGACAACAAAGGATTGTGATTATGATCGAAACTTTGTTCACCCAAAACTTGTCAATAACTACTCAAGTTGTTCCAAACCCATATGACTTTCTAGAAGGGTTAGCTAGCAGGTGGTCCAAGCTGTTTTTCTCCAGTCAATGAAAGTGAATGGCCACCATTGTTAGGCCTGGTCCCCATCCACTTTTATTGCATGGAGAAAAGCAGCTTGGACGTTTTGCTAAATATCTCCTTTTCAGTTTTCATTTTTGGCTGAACTATCCCTTTAAGTGGTTACACAGACACACCGCAGGTTATTAGCGAGATTATGTTACTCAAGCCTGATTAATTGCAGTAGGTGCTACATTAGGGAAATTGAGGTGTGCTGTGGCTCAAAATACCAAAAACACTTTATTTATACACATCTAGACCTTCATCCCTGAAATTTAGACTCAAATTTAGGCTGTGGGTATCATCCACTGAGATCTTTCAATGATGGATGTGCTACAGCAAATACAATATATTATTGTGCAATTTTAATGTTGGGTATATAGTATATTTTTAGGGAAGAGTGATATGTATACTTTTTAGTTAGGAAAAAGACAATTATTTTATGCAAGCTCTATTTTTCATAAACTGTTTTCTTGAATGACCTCATTCTTTAATAAAAGATTCGCAAATCTTGTCCTTCTATTTTAAGGAGTGCAATACGTATTTGTGACGAATGAGGAACAAAAAGCAGAATTAACTGGTCAGGAAACCTTAACAAGTCAATAAATTAAGGCAATTAGTAAAAACACAACGAAAATGGCTCCCTTGAGACTGTGATGCAGAAAAGCTTCAAAATGAAGGGATCATTAGCAATCTGTGCTAATGGCACAATCTGTAGAGGGAAAAAAACAATGGATAAATGAGGGAATTAAAAGGGAACGGGCTGCAAGAAACAAGGAAAAGGCAGAATATGAAAAGATTTAACTTCCTTAGGCTAGTGTTGCAATAGACAAATATGTCAGTGGGCCACAACAGAGTACTGTATATGTGCACACTTGTGAGTGTAGAACTGTGTGTATCTGTTTGTGAGTAAAATGATCAATAAGAGCCTGTGGCAGTGTGTGTCTGCCAGAATGTTAGCACTACATTACGACTGGATTACAAGGAGATTCCTTTGCAATGTGCATGCGTAAATCCTGCTGAGGGAGCGTTGGCTTGGCCCTGAGACAGGCAGTCTGCAGTCCACCTGTGTGTGTGTGTGTGTGTGTTAAGCACATACCAGCTGTAACAGTTCAGACTCATATGCTTGCTACTCATCACAGCATTTCTGGCTGTGAGAGATAGGGTAATCTTACTGTATCTAAACACCGCGGTAAAGACCTGATCGGTCACTGTAAGTTCGAATGCGAATGTGTTATTCAGATTCCCTGTCATATTTTGTAGTAGAATAGAGTGTGATTGGATGTCTGGTTTCGATTTGACACATGAAGTTGTGATGTGACGCTATCACTCATGTCCTGTGTGTGGTCTAAGCGGGTGTAAAGACTCATGTTAGCCTCATTCACTCAGGTGCTGCTGGGAAATCTGCGCGAGAGTGGGCGTACGTACCGGCAGGCCACCGGAGATCCAGTAGTGTGCACCGTTCAAACGCCGTCTCCCGTCACAGGGTGGATCCAAACCTAGAACACAGACACAAAGAGATACAGAAATACAAAGAAAGATGTGTGAGACATAAAAGAAACAGCTGCATTGGGACAGTATTATCAATTTTCTGGGATATGAGTGACAGAGCTTCTCAGAAGCATGAGTTTGTGATTTCACTTGATCTTCTGCACAACCGATGCACCCGTGCCTGGTCTAATTGTGCTATTACTGATTCATGTTTATTAATGCAGTGATGTGTGAAGGTGGCAGGGACAGATTGCTGCTGTTGCTACAGTGCATGTTTACATGCGCAGCATCAGCTTGGGAATCATGGGAACTCTCTTGCACACTCAGAGGTGCATATGCATGTGCACAAACAGCTTGACTGCTAAATGCTGATGCCAGATTGCATGTGTTTCTCAGTGCTAGTGCTGGCACAGATCATTGGTGAGGTAGCAGGAGGGTTGGAGGAGGGGCCGCTGATGGCCCCGTGCCAAGGCCTTTTATTCCCAGAGCCTCTCGTCCCCCAGTGCCCTTGGGCATCTGTTGTAGAGTTATTGTTTTCACTAGCAAGCAATTAGCAACACTACACATTTATTTAGCACTGCTCTAATGCTTCATAATTAGCTTCAGGCCCCAAACAAGGACCACCTTTCCTGCTCTCCCCGCTGTCACGATCACAGCCTGCCATGATTCAGCACAAGCGAGGGAACGCGGGACAGAAAAGTGGAAGAAAGAGCGAGAAAGAGCATAACTAGAGTTGCTAGCAGGGCCAGCTTGTGTGTTGGCTCAGCATTTCTTAAGAGCTCTTTAGGGGCCTGTTGGCTGAGCAGTGCGTGCGTACAGGGAGGAAAGGGCAAACACAGAGCGGTTACACTTTTATAGAATGCTTTGTGGAAAAACACCCCTGACACACACCTCAGCACTGCAGCCCTGTTTGTCATAGGGCCCAAGGGGCCGCACTGGCCTCTCACATGACTGTGAGCAATGACCTTCCAGGGCAGCAGTTTAAGAGAGTACGGCAACCCCACCTCCTCTCCTGTGCTTCTCTCTGGGAAATGGATTCTCACGCCAGCACAGATATGGACCGAAATGTAGATGAGAACATGGAGCAGGGAGAAATGTCAAACACATAAATACAGTGCTTGTATGAAGAGTGCCACTTGAGAGGAATTGCTATTAGATTTTGTTAATATTTCCATTTTGCTTTATGATCAAAGCAACCAGTAACTGACGTTGCCATTGCTTTTTGCCAGAAATTGCCATTAGATTTGACTAATAATTTGCATTAGAGCTGCCAGTGGATTTTGTCAAGATTTGCCAACAATTGCCATTCTTTCTATCTTTTTTTTTTTGCATCAATTCCATTAGATTTTACACATAATTGCCATTAGATTTTTGCCAATAATATCCATTAGATTTCTCATAGAATTTCCATTCGGTTTTGCAATAAGATTAACCAATAACTGTCATGAGATTTTACAATTGGTCATGAAATATTTTCCACTACATGCCATTGCTTTTTGCCAGAAATTGCCATGAGATTTTATCAATAATTTGCATCAGAGTTGCCATTGGATTTAGTCAAGAATTGCCAATAATTGCCATTCATTTTTATGGCATTAATTCCATCAGATTTGTACACATACAGTAATTGCCATTGGATTTTTGCCAATAATATCCATTAGATTTCTCCTAGAATTTCGATTCAGTTTTGCAATTAGAATATTAAAATAACTATCGTTAGATTTTAGAATTCTTCATGAAATATTCTCCACTAATTGACAATACTTTTTTTGCCAAGAATTGCCTTTCGATTATTATTTTTTTACCAATAATAAGCATTAGATTTTGCCATTAGATTTTTTCCACTAATCATTATTACATTTTGACAAGTATTGCCAATAATTGCCATAATTACTGAATGAATAATGAGTTTCATTAGATTGAACTGGCATAACATTTTTGCCAAAAACACCCCTCAGATTTCACAAGGAATGTCTATTCAGTTTTACAGTTAGATCAAGCAATAACTGTTGTTAGATCTTAGATTTTGTCAAAGTGTAAAGAATTCCATTAGATTTTACACACATCATTATTACATTTTTGCCAATAATATCCATTTGACCCACAAATTATTTTTACTGAGAGAAATTGCCATTTGTTTTGACTGGTATATACTATAGTTTGCTGATAAAAAAAATACAGGTCAACTTTTTATTTATTAATTTATTTTTGTGGGTGTATATATATATACATACTACTGAAGTGCTGTGAGGAAAAAAAAAATGTAATAATGTATGGAAAAATCTTATGCACCTCAACTGTCCAGAGTGAACCCGATGGCTCATGCTTGTATATGTATATTGTTTATGGAAACAAAGGGCAAAACCAAGTTCAAGTCAATGTGCATATTGCATACATATTCATGCGCCGGCTATATCAATCTATTTCAGCTGAGGCTAGTGGGAGGAGCCCGCTGATGAGGTCAAAAGGGACACAGACACATGAATATCAGAAGCGCACATTCACAGGTGCATCGTTTCTGGATGCACTCATTACAGAATAAGTAAATAAACCCAAAGGTTGACATACAATTCCAAAATGCTGGTCGTAAAACTGAATTTATAATGTTGTCATGTGAAATTCAATCAAAGCATAAGTTATTTTCTCAGCCGCCATTCTGAAAAGACAATACTCAATGGAATCGAATTAAAGCACTGCATTTTTGAAAAGGGAAAGGTTCGTGTCCCCAGAAATCACATCCAGCAAAACTGACCTCTGACCTATTTCATTTTAGCATGACTGCCATTATCCAGCAGAAAATTAGAAATGTCCTGCTATTGTCTGGTCCCGCGGTGGGGGCATGGTTATGGAAAGATAAATGCAGCGTCTACAAAAGAGCAGCAACTGCACAGATTCATAAGTCTTTAAGAGAAAAACTACAAGCTACCTGGCTGAGGTACTGGTTTGATGAGCATTTGTGTGTGTACATGTGTGTGTGTGTGTGTGTGTTTAGGTTAATGCTGTGTTATTTGAGGAATAGCTATGCAATTTCGCAAAAAAAGATTGGATATGCGAGTCCTTATGATTACATTTGTGTTTCTATGATTTATCCCACAGATTTCTTTTTTTTTTCATTTGAAACCAAAAATAAAGAGGATGAATCATCTAAATTTGAGACATTCAAGTGCCAAGAAGGAAGAGAGAAAAGGGGATGTCTCTGGTCTCCATGGGCAACCAGGGTTATGGTGTCTTTTCTTGTAAACATGAGGAGAATAGGGACAAAGCGTCTGTTGGTAACAAAGCCATATCAATGAGTGAAGAGGTGACTTGGCTCCTTCTCTGCATGGAAGCATCTGGATCGCTCACACATTCACCCATAAATATGCATATGGATTTAATGTCCCTTTCTTCAATAAGTTTTCTACAATAAAAGAAAAACTGCATCAGTGCACACGTTCAAAATCTGAATATATAAAAATAAAAATTAGCTATTTGTGCTCTGAAACAGCAGGGTATCAGACTTCCCGTCTCACATGTGTATCTGTGAATATATTAGTCATATTTTTGGCTTTTCAAAAGGTGAATCACTGTCCATTCTAATGCACATGTGCTAGATGCGAGGGGCACAGGATGCAGATGTTTTAAATGTTATTTTCCATGATTGCTTCTTGCTCCCCATTTCCTGTCTATTGTGTGGGTGCAAGAGGCATTGTGTGGAGCGTCTGAGCACGCGCGGGGCGGGGTGGGGTCGGTCGGTTCACATCCCCCTGGGAGCTCGTAGCAGCCCCATCTTTTATTAATCAGAGGCCCCTGCGCCACACTCCACACTTATCACATTTAACAGCCTCAGATGTAGATGCGGCTCTGGGTGGGGTGCCTCCGCTCGAGCTGAGGAGGCCATCTAGAACGTGTGTGTGCGGGATGGTGGGGGGTTGGGGTGCAGACCCATCATGCACTTCCATCACCCAGCTATTGGGCCGAATCACAATACAGCAAATTACCTTCTGCTGACAAGAAAAAATGAGCAGGTCTTCTGTATGGAGGGAAAAAAAAGGATTGTCAAGAAGAGGTGACACATTGATTGCTTAGTATGCGTATCCTGCGGGCCCAGGGTTCGCAGTCTTCCTCTTCTATATAAATGTAGAAGCAGGGGAACGGAGCAGGTGGAGTGAAGGAGAAATTGAAATGCCATGTTAGATTGGAGGGTCTGCTCTCAAACCGGGTGGGCCAACCAACAAATGCACAAACACAAAGGTCTCGCGAGTGTGGATGAAAAGGTAAAGCCTGTGTCATGCGCACAGGACTCTAAGATGACGTCCCGACACCCTGCCCTTCTTTTTTCTTTTGCCTTTTTCTTTTTTCACCCCCCTCCCCTCATCTCATGTATGTCGTAGCTCAGATGAATCAGTGTCAGCGGTGTTGAGAGCACTTACTGTCAACCTCAGCGCCCCGGGCCACGCCACTGATGGACACAAACTATAAAATATCACCCCCGTAGGGAGACATTGTTCAAACTCTTCCCCCACAGCCCTGAGGTGAAGAGCTCACTCTCTTTTTCACTTTCTCTCGGTCTGTGCATCTGGTTTTGGAAGGTCTTCACATGGCCGTGAAGCCAAAATCCAGTTTCTTTTGGACTGGGCTATTGAGATACAGCGGTGGAGCTCAAATCTGTCAAATTGTCAGACTTCTTTGTGCCCCTCCATGCTGGAGCTTGGTTAAATGACACAACAGGAATCACAGATCTGAGACCTCTGACAGCTGAAGACTAGAAGACAAAAGCAGAAATCTTGATGTCCACTCCAGGTTTAAATAATGTAGCAGGGTGCATGCTGGGATTGCCATCAATCCCACTCTCTGACGATGGCACTTATTTCAGCTGATAAGTGGAGTAGAAAGCGAGAGGGAGCTGAGGCAGACAGGAAAGGAGGGATGAAGGGAGGGGGAAAAGAGAGAGACGCCCCCCAAAACAACTCCTCCAGTCAATATGGGTCACTGGGCTTCAACTCTCCTTTGTGCATCCACAAGGGCA